ACTGGCAAGGGGGAGGCCAAAGACACAGTAAAACCACTTAACTTTCTTGGCCATCTTCCTAGCTAAAGACAGTCCCAGTGTCCTGATGCTGGGGTAACATTTTGGTGGCCCTCCATCCTTGCATCCTTGATTTGGCACAAGGCCCTGTTACTTTAGGACCAAGACCTACCTTAGAGCTGCAGCAAGAGGCAACTCTGCAGCAGTGAGCCACCGGCAGAATGTAGCAAGGGGCAAGGGTGGATCTGCTGGTATCAGAGATGTCCTTTCAGGGCCATGAAGTGGTGGGGCAATGTCTGAAATGAGGCCATTTCAGCTTGAAGCCAGGGCCAGTCCCACCCAAGGGGAGGCAACTGTGGAGGGTGCTGCCTGCTGTGAGAGCTGCCAAAGAAAGTCAACTGCTCCTGGAGGACTGCAGAGCTACGGCCAGGTGGCAGGGCCACTGAGAGGCCAAAGGGACCCTGATCTGCCTGCAGCCTTTCTGGTAGGTGCTGCTATGTGCACACCAGAGGGAGGTGAATTGGCCAGGGGTGCGGAGCTGGTGCCTGAGATGGAGCAGTTTGGAGAGAGAACAAACAATGGGGGAAATGCCACAGGAGGGGCCGCCTGGGAGCTGGAGAAACACGAGGGCCTCAGGGAGGGGAGCCCTGCCCTTGCTGGAGACCTGGTGTGAAAACTACAATGCAGTTTGGCTAAATCCTTGCTGGTCTTGAACCTGGTGGAGTGAAGAATCCACACTGAGTTCCTGACCATCTAGCAGGAAAGGAACCAAAGGATTCTGTAATGAAGTAAGAGGTTTCTGCTCCTGGAAAGGGAGCTCTGGACTGTAGCCCAGACTACCAGCTGCTCCCTGCCCCCCACGCCTCCCCAACCCGTGGGCTACAAAAATTTGATTCAGAAATGATCTGTTCTCTTGGCTGGGGACATATAATACTGACATGTGATACAGAAACAAACTGTCTCTGATTAAAAGGGCTGAAAGGAGTTAAAAATTAAACTAAATATGAAGCCTTTGGCTATAGTTAGAGTTTAGGAAGCAACCAATTTCTATCAGGATGCAGAGAGGGTGGAGGGAGGTGGGCGACTTGATTAAGATGGTAATAACTAGTATAAGTAGAAACAATGGAGTATGGGTAAAAAAAAATACATCAAAAGGTTCTGCTAGATGGGGTTAAAGACCGCCTTCCAAAGGAAGGTGGGAGTGCCTTCCTAAACGCAGTTAAAAATAAGAGATGTTGATGACAAAGGCAAAGATGTCAAGTTCTTTTCCCATCCTCAGTCTCCAGGATGGATACTCCAGGTTTTTTCAGCTCTGATGCTTAACCATGTAAGTGAGACCTCAGAAGCATCAGTGAAGATTTCCGAGAGTATCTCCCGATTTGTTACTGATGCTGAATGGTATTCTGAGTTCATAGGTTTCAAGTTTGTGCAATGAAAATAAAAAGTGCAATCCCCCCTGCATGTGAATGCACTCCCCAGTTCTTTGAAACACTCTCTAAGGAATAAAGGAATGCAATAAAAATCTATAGGAGTGGATTTCTGCCAGCATTTTGCCTAGGTCTTTGGTTCAATCCACATATTTCCCAGCATGCTGTACAAATACATCAAATCAGGGCTCCAAAGATGATATATATAGAGAAGAGTTTTAAGGGTCTTCTGAATCATACACAGAATTTCACATGACTACATTTTAAAGCTTACATTGTTTTCTTAAATACACCACTGCCTTTAAGCCAAGAAATTAACCAGATTGAAGAATCCCCCTTACAGACCATCCATTCACACTAGATGCACAGTTGCAAGACGATACCAAATGACAGCTGTAAAACATCACCCTCATATGGACACCATAAAACAAAGCAGTTAAAAAGCATTTTAGATTTTTTTTTTTCCACTTTCTGCTCCTGCTGAGGATATTTACGTTTGCAGAAGCGTTTTTATTCTCATCATTTAGACCTTCCTTCTGCTTGATACTGGTACAAAATAGCAACCGACTGTTTACTTCTCACCTGCTGTCTGCTCTTCCTCTAAAATAAATGTTACAGAGTTCTTACGGCCATGGAGTTGATCATGAAAAGGGACAAGGAAGGGATCATGAAAAGATGATTTATTTAAAAATCATTTATTTTTAATGTATACATTTATTTAAATGTACTTAAAACTATCTCTGTGAAAAATCTAGCAAGCTGGAGCTCTGTCAAGGCAAGTAAAAACCTTTCCTCAGTGTTACTGAAACTGATTTCATGATGCTGATTTTCAGGATGTAAAAACACTATGGGGTGACAGAGTTCCAGGCGGTTCTAACGAGCGGCAGGGCTAAGATCCCCGCTACTTATGCAACCATGCAGAAACCCCATTTTCTTTCATCTGGCCTTTTCTCTTTCCCCTTTTTGATTTAAACTGGCCTCATCCAAAACTGACTCACCCACCTTCCTCTCCCTCGCACAGCCACTTCCTTAATCATTAAGCCCTCAGGACACCGAGGTTCTGGTTGGCATAAGAGAATCTTAGGGACAAAGCCCGGGGTCTGGTGACCACAGAGGAGAATGGCCAGACCCAGAAAAATGGAACATCCCACTGACCAAATCCTTGTAAAACCAGCCAGAATTGACGCCATGGCTGACATCAGGACCAGATGCAATGACCAATTACCCTCCACCCCAGCACTGACCAATCAATAAGACCACGGCCCTAACCACAACCCTAACTCCCGCAGTGACCAGGATTAACGATTTCCCCCCATATAACCCACGCCCTAGAAGCCGCTGGGGGCCAGGTCTTTGAGCACGAGCCGGCCTGTGACTGTGGGCACGGCGCCACTTCCTGAAATAATACACTTTTACTTTCTTTGCTGCAAGCTCCTGTTCGTGTTTCTGGGCTCTGATGCACGCAGGCAAATGGGCCCTTTTAGTCCAGTAACGCTTAAAAGGTGGCGCAGCAGCAGCAGCCTCAGGCCTCGGAAACCAGGATTCGCAGCTGCCCCATATCCCCAGGCGAAGCTGTGGCTCACGCACATCAGAGTTTGAGAAGCTCGCACTGTGTCTTTTCCTCTCCATTTTTACTGCCACCCTAACTCTAGGCTCTTCTTTTAATCTGGACAATACAGTTTCTAATGACTCACGCTCCTGCTCTTTCCTCAGGGTAAAGTCCACACTGACCTCCAAGCCATTCGCAATCTGCCCGGTCTCTTCTTTCCTTTTTGCTGTCAAACCCTCCACTCCGGTCAAATCCCATGCAGTTTTTGGCCTCAGACCTTTGTGTAATTCCCATTTGTTTTTCTTTGAAGCCCCAGATTAAATCCAATTCTAACCACCAGGGACACTGTAATTCCGTTCATGTACTTACTGTTTCGTGATCTCACTAGCATGGTATACTGCCTTATATTGTGTTTACCCTTTTTAAAAGTTGAGTTATAAAATACATGAAGTGTGGAAAGTGCACTAATCTTGTGCTCATCCTGATGACTTTTTTAATCTGTATACACTCATGTCCATTTTTCTCTTAAATGTGTCTGCCTCATCTACATTAACTGTACTGAGCACAACTTAAGGTGGAAGCATGCCTTTGATTTCTAGAAAGAAGCCCTGGATACCCAGCACCTGATATACTTTAGCCTAAATCTTTTACTGTAACCAGTTATTCTGACACTGTTTAGGAGGAGGGAGGATGCGTAAGCCCTGAGGAGCAGGAGCAAACATTTCAGTTTGTAGAAATGCTATGAAGGAAGGACACAGTGCTTCTGAGGGTATATATTGGGCTCTGGCAGAGTGTCCACTGCACCCACCTCACCCAGTGTGTACAATGTCATTAGAGAGCCCTAGGCATGATCACAAGGGTGGTTTGCATTCACGCTGGAGGCACCAGCAGGAGCCAACTGGGCTGGGGACCACACTAAGTCCTGTAATCGTGACCAAGAGAGACACTGTCCTGCTCCATATGGAACTTACCATCTAGTTGTAGAAAAACAAACCTAGGTAAACCAGGCAGGTATTTTGCTAATGCCAATCAGTTGATTATAAGAAAAAAATTGACAGGGGCTTGCTCATTAGTTTGTTCAGTGTCTACTGGCTTGTGGCTTTTTGTCAATAAATAGTACTGAAAGCCTTGAGCTTTAGATTTGGACTACAGAAATGCCTCCAAGAGGGTGTTGTGCATATTGCAAAGGAGGAATTGAGAACAGAAGGTCCATCTCTTCTGCTTCACACAACGTGAGATTGTCTGGCTGATCCTAAGACTATGTTCAGTTAGTAAGGTTATCAGACCGGTGCTTATTTTTGGTGGCAGCTGGGTAGGCACACAATGTCCAAGACTCGTAGCATGTTTCTATCTACAAGGCACCACATTCATTAACATTCTTTCAAGAAACAGCGTTAGTAAAAAGTTCTCCAATACCATCGGAACTGAGATAAACTAAATCATTAATAAATGAACAAAAAGTATATTCTAAATCCATGTTAGGAATTGTACATTTGAAGGCAGAAAAAAAAAAGGAGAAATAGAGTAAAAACTGTACTAGTGGTTGTGTGGAAGAGTAACTATTTCCTTGGTATGTTTAAGTTGGATCCTTTTGAAAATTATATCTATCGGTAGCCTGGGGAAGTTTCAATGTAAGGAAGAATCTTGTTGCCTTCAAAAAACGATTTCAGTAAAGAATAGCTAGGGCTTCTAGAAATGTGCATGAAAATTCCATGCTACCTTAACAGAAATTCAGGTGGTGAGTCTGGAAAAATACCATGTTTTCTGAACCAAACCTACCTCTGAATTATTTTTCTTAAATAAATTTCGTTATTATTATTTTTGAATCCTCACCCATCGATGTGAGAGACACGTGCTGCCTCCCACACGTGCCCCAATCAGGGCTGGGGATCGAGCCTGCAACCGAGGTACGTGCCCTTGGCCAGAATCGAACCCGGGACCCTTCAGCCTGAGGGCCGATGCTCTAACCGCTGAGCCAAATGGGCTAGGACGTAAATAACTTTTTAAACAGAACACACAATCATATGTAGTAACATGCAGTTTAAAATGATTTATTTGACAAACTTCTGTGGTTTACGTTTCAGCATTTCATCAACTGCAAAAATAAGGAAATAATTCAGGGGCCTAATACACTTTTGAAATAATATTTATGATTCCTAAAAATGTATATTCACGTAGTTTGAAATGAACATATTTTAAGAAAGTTCACGCTTATTCAAGCATTGTTTAATCTCACAAAATATATTAATATTGTTGGCAATATCTGTATTATAAAAGGGTCTTCAATTTACCAAAGGATTCAACACTAAGCTATTTTCAAAGTTTTATTTTTTTCCAGTCTAAAGAGGGGTTACAACTCATGCTGTACTCACACAGCTGCCTCTGTGCAACCATGAGGATGAGCGGAGACACCAAAAGCCTAGAGTTCTAGAAAGATGTGGGGGTAAATAATGGACAGGTGTCCTTTACAGAAAACTTCAGAACCACCACCAGTCAGATAAAAAGACACTTAAATATGAGGGTCAGTTCTCATCTACATATACGTGGTGTTTTTTTCCTCCCTTAAAACAATCAATCACACTGGAAAACATGATATAATGGTGAATCTTTCAAAGGGCCTGGGAGAGTCCCTATAATTATTTCCTGAAACACTAGAATTCTCTTATGGAGAAATCTTCCAGTGAAGGGGGAATTTAAACTATCCATGAGTATTCAACTTAGATTAACATACTTGTTAAGGCAAAAGCAAACTGGTGTTCTTCATGTTTTGAGGCTATGAGAAAGTTTGGCTACAGGATTTCCTTTTCAGCCAGAAAATACACACTGCTATTCCAGAAGGATGGAAGGTAGCACAGCTGGCTTCTAGCCTGAGGGTCAAGCATGCTGTCCAATCCTGCTTCTTTCCTTCCTCCCTGACTCAAAGCTGGCTGCATGGCTAAGTAAAACATTCCAACTTATATTTTCAAAGTTTTTAATCCACTGTTTTAAAAACAACATAATAAATGAAAACAACTAGAACTTAAATGCTGTTCTAATTTTTTTCCTACTTTTGGTTGTTAAAATCAAAACAAAACCTACAAACACACAGTCCCAGGATTTTCTCAAACCAGTTCTTTGGCAATGTTAGAGTGAGTAATGTGGCTGCCATGCTAATTAACATATTTTATAAGTCTAATTAAAGTGTTGAGATAGGAAAATAACTAGAAATGTTAGAGAAATTCAATTGAAAGAAATTGTCATATGTTAAACTTTGTAAATCTTAAAAAGAAATTACAGAATGTAAACAGTAAAATAATATTATGCAAGAATGTCCTAAGGTAATTTTAGTATAAATTATGAAAACAGATTAATAGTCAACTGCAGTCTCGTTTTGATGGCAAAAAATAAAGGATACACAGAAATGGCACTGTCCATCAAGTAAGAGGAGGTGTTGATAACCCTGTAATCAAAATAATCATTCTCCTCTTTACGCACCACATGTCAATTTTATATATTATCAATTAAACTAAATTAAAAAACCCTTCAACTTTGATAATTCGGGCAGAAAACGGAATACACAGGAACTAGGAATTTGATCAAAGTTCTGAGAAAGATTCATATACACCAAATTAACGAGTCCTATGAAAAGGCAGCTATAAAAATACACATCACAAGCTATACAGAACTTTAAAATCCAGTTAAGGGTGGAGAAAGCCTAGAATTTCTTAATGTATCTGAGACCACTGTAAACCCAAAGGTAGAAGCATCTTAAGAGCATTTCAGCATTCTGGCATATTCAAAATCTGTAGTGTGTAATATCTCTCTAACACACAGAGAGCCTTTCAGAAGCTGGCTACCGACAGGAAACCTCGGAGCGAGTTCTGTCGTCACACTTGATCTCGCAGGCGGGCCAGTCTCTGCGACAGCTCATCCTGCTCCGCCGAGGCCACGCTCGTGCCCACCGAGTCGGTCTGGCCCTGCGGCAGCTCCAGGTTGAGGTCCAGGCCGGCCTCATCTGCCATTTCCTGCAGCAGCATATCCACTTGGTTCTGGGGAGTGGTCAGCGTCGTGGTGCTGCTCATGGTGTCTTCCATCTGCTGCGTCTGGACGTCCAGCGTCTCAAACTGGTGCTCGAATTTGTCCATCAGGGCGGAGATCTTCTCTAGATTCATGGTTTTCAACGTCGCATCCATCGACTTAACCACCCCGGCCATTGACTTGGTCACCTTGCCCATCGTCACCGCCGTCTGGACTCGAGCAGCCACCGCATCGACCCGCGCGCTCATTCTCAAGAAATTCACCGCCTGGTTCTTCTGGCGAATAGCGTTTTCGGCGTGTATCCTCGCCACTTCCATGTTGCCCTTCTGAATGGCCTTTTTGATTTTGGCCTTTTCGGCCTTTTCCTCCTTGTCGCATTTTTTGGCGCTTCTGCTCAGTTCTTTGGCCGCGAACTTCAGGTTGAACAGGTGCTTCTCCATGTTGGACATAGTCGCCGGCTCCTCGGGGCGGGCGGCCGGGGCGGGGGGCGCGATGCAAGGACGCACCGCGGAGGTCCGCTCGGGGTGGCCGCTCCTTTGTTTTGGTCCTACTTCCTGCTTTCGCTGCGCGGCGCAGGCGGTGACGTCAGAGCTCG